TCTGTAGATGTTGAAGCACTGATGTTAAAATACCTCTCATGAGCACATCTCAATTTTTGTTTGAAACTCAATAAGTATGAAGTTAGTTATTAATTCATTTAAAAATAATTATAGGTTTAATATTTTTTACTTTGATAGAACACTGTTTCAAGAATGCTTAGGGTTTTACTAAAGGCCTAGATCTCCTCCTCAATAGTCAATAGATTTATTAATTTACTCTTTTCTTAACCCTGTTTTAGAATAACCATTATTCAAAATAATTACGACACATTAATAACATTATGTTTTGGTTTAAAATATATATGTTATTACCACACTCATTTGATACATATAATGTAATAATCTTTATATCATCATACTTTATGACCTTATTCACTGCAATATATTAATTTTATGTTATTAAAATACTATACAGTAGCAAGATACATTGCAGGAATACTGCCAAGAGGGTGAGGGAGGGGTCATAATTTTGAAAAGAAAAGTTAGGGGTACTCTATATTACAAAGTATTGTTAAAGGGTACGTGAGAGGGAAATAGGTGGAAATCACAATCTTACAGAGTGCTACTGATTCCTTCAAATCCAATAAATTAATTTTTTTATACAGCCGACGAAGGTTATCCTGTTGCACGAAAAGTGTGAAGAGAAATACTGAAAGCCATTTTCATGTAGTTTAAATAAGTCATTTTATAAAATTCAGCAAACTACACTAACATAATATTTGATAAATAAGGTATGTTGCTGAATAATTTATACCATGGCCAATATATCCAAATATTAGACAGTCAATTTAATAAAAAGCTACAATTACTCTCCTGCAGGTTGTGTACATAAAATACGAAATGAGACAAAGTTTTAGCAGTTTAACCTAAACAGCACTTAAAGGAATAAAACAGATTCACCATGCTAGAAATACAGTAAATCCTCGCTATACACGATCTGATAAAAAAAAAAGGACCATCTCACAAAATATTGCAAAAACTGATTAATGAATCACACAAAAAGAATGATTAGCACTGTCGCATCTCTCAAAAGATGTTAATAGCAATTAAAAAAATTAAAAATTAGTTACAATTATTATTATGTATTGGGTTATATAAAATGGCTCCACACTTTTCTGGTACATTTTTTAACAAAAAGTTTCTTTATTGAAAATCAATTTTAATCAAGTACATATCGACCATTATTATCTATGACCTTTTGTCATTTTTCGGGTAGCTTCATATTTCCATGGGTGTAGAACGGTGGATGCAACAAAATTTATCAACCAAGCTCCTTCAATTTGTTCCGACTCATCAAAGATGTGTGTGGCCACGCATTGTCATGATGGAACACAATTCCCTTTCTGTTGACCAATTTTTGGTTGCTCTTTCTGGATTGCTTCGTTCAAACGGTTGAGTTGTGCACGATACAGGGCCGAACTAATAATTTTGTTCGGTTCCAGCAGCTTATAATCGACAATTCCTTTCCAATCCCACCTTATTTGGTGACAATCCAGGCTTTGAAGTCATTTGTGGAAGGTCACTGGCCTTTGACCATGATCACTTGCGTTTGATATTCTCGTATTTCACCCATTTTTCATCGCCTGATGGTAATTTGATCAATCAAATTTCTTTGTGTTAATTCATGTGGCACCCAAACATCGAGCTTCTTTTTGTACCCTGCTCTTTTCAAATGATTCCAAACTATCATGTGGGTGATGTTTAGTGCCTCCGCTATTTCCTGACAGCTTGCGTGCCGGTCTCACTCCACCAGCTGCAAAATTTCATCAACTTTTTCAGTGACTGGCCGACCAGAGCAAGGTCTGACATCGAAATTTCTTAAAAGGAATCGAGCAAACCACTCCTGGGTCCTTTGTTCACTCAAGCATCCTCACTATACACACCTTTTTACTTCCTTGTACGAAGTAAAAAGAAAGTATTGTAATCGCGAAAAGCTTCAGGCAGCATATTTCAATGAAAATATCCATTTTGACCGCTATCGAATGCAATTTAACGATGCTTTTGTGTGATATCCGTACGTAAGGACAGAATAAAATACTCTTTTCCTTCAAAAAAATTATAAAACTGCTTTAAAATTAATTTTGAAGAGAATTTTTCGTGGCGTCTGTACGAACGCATGTACGTACGTTTCTCGCATAACTCAAAAACGAGTAGCCTCCGAATGTTGAAATTTTGTATATAGGACTGCTATAACATATGTAGACGTGCACCTCGTATTTTGGTTGCAATCGGCCGCACCAAACGTATATAAATATATTTATATATATATCCACTCTGTTACCCCCGCTGCTCAGTGATCTCAGTTTCTTTTACTCTTATATGTTTGTAAATTGTAAATTTTTTGCTTTAAAAATGATTGTATTATGTTGTTTTTATCTTCCGGTTAAGGTTTTTATGCCTTTAGTAAATCTCTATGCAATATTTTTAGAATTATCAATAATTTTAAAGTTGTCTAAGTGCCGCTAAGCCCTTTTTTTATGGCGACCATTGATGTTTACATTTGAAACAGGAGACTAGTGGATTTGTTGCCAATCTACAGAAACTTAGCTTCGCAACAACAAAGATAACGCATTCATTTATTATTGCCAATTAAATCATGCTTAATTCTTTCTGGAATTTTTTCGAGGAAATAAGTGTTTAAGATTTACTTTGTAATTTTTAATATAGATATTTTGAGTTTTTATGTATTTTTGCCTTCTCGCGAAGTGAGAGCTGAATTAATTAAATGAGAAATACACAATCGTCTGTGAAAAACTGTTTCTTTTTTGTTTTGTTTGCTTAATTTCTTTTATACATCATTCTAGCTTTATTATAGTATTTGAATAGAACATGTGGCAACAATTAGATAATTCTATTCTTTAAATGATATAAATTTTGTGCATTATGAGTTATAACACGAATGAAATATATAAGTTAACTGTTATATAATTATTGGATTATATAACAGTTAACTTAATTTTTGTTATATAATTATTATATAAGTTAACTGTTACATAATTATTAATACTATTAAGTGAATCTAGCGCCAGAGTGTCAAAATACTAGAGTGAATTTTAAAGAATGCATTTATTCTATTGTGGTTTATGCGCTGTCGGCGAAGTAGATTTAATTCAATCCAATAAGTTTAAATGAAATGCAAGAAAAAATGCGTATAATTTAATATTCCGTACAAGGAAGTCATGTGGTGTACACATCAGATTTTTTATAGTAAAAAAAGCATCACATAGCATATTTCTTCATATATTTCACTCATTTTCAAATTCATATAAATTTTTACACGAGCAATGAACTAAAAATCTATCTTCACAAACAATGGAAGCTGAATATCATCTTTTCAGCATATGTTCATTTGAGACACTGTGAGTGTTGCCAGATATATAGACATGAACATCATCTAGGAGCAAAAAAAGTGCGGAGACTTTTTAAATGACCCAATATTTTTTTGTTTTTCAGTTTTATCATACATTAATAATTTCACATGAAAAATTATTAAAAATTCGGGGTTTAGACCCAACACTCTACCTACACATTTCCATGAAAAATAAACATTTACAATTACAAATAAGCTTGAATCCTAAACAAAGTGCTGCCTGATAGCTCAATCATAGAACCAATTGAAGATCTATGTCTGAATGGATCAATGGTTCTTTGGCTCAATGCATGCCACAACAGGATTTTTTAAGAGACATTTATTGTTATTGGTTTCTTAAGAAATGAGTGGGAGAACCTGTTTCGTATCGCCTTTTTATTAGAACACAGGGAAGAAGGGGGTGAAGACAAAAGAATAGTAACTTAAAGATATTTTCACTAGTCTAATAACCCAACCACGATGAATTTAAAGGATAGTAATTTTTCAGTTCAAGTGGAACCAAGAAGTTTGTTCATTATAAGCCAAGTTTACTATAGCAAGGTTTGACTGTATACTAAAGAAGTAAACTTAGATATTACAACTGACCCTAGAACGATATGGCTATTATGCACCTCAACTCTTCATACAGCTAAAAATCTGCCCAAAGATTTTGAAACACAGGCCACTAATCTACAGCGATACTAAGAACTGAAACAATGAATCAAAACATATCTGTATGTTATATGTATCATAAATTCAAATATTAATGTTAAACAACACAATTTTTTTTTTGATATGGAAGAGAAAAAGCATTTACAATACTGCAGCATATTTAACAATACCTAAGGTTACTTCCTCTGCTTGCAAGATGAATCATCTGTCTCTTAGAACGTGCATTAATTTTGCCTTGTGTGATAGAATTGCTCAGTCAAAACTGGAACGGAGCTTAGTCAGATAGACCTTGTGTGCTTTGCCTAAATCATATAATCCAAATCTTACGTGATACAGAACACTGCAGAAGCTGTATGTAATAGCATTACATAGAGCAAAAATTGAAAGATTCTATAATAAATTTGCGTACATTTCATATCAAATTATTTTTTCTCTTATGTTTCTGAATTACATAGTTCACCCATAAATTTTACAAACTGCCATAAATTTACAAATTACCTACCAATTTTTTAATGAAAAAAATCCACATCTAAGCTGAATGACAATTGCAATTTTAATGCATGAATACAACTGCATGCAGATATTCACTAATATGAGTTAAACTCAATCAGGATGGGAAATAATTTTTTTGAATAAAGTACTCTGAGAAAAGTAAGAAGCACAGTGAAACTTTTTCGAGATGACAACCCATGGTTCCAGATCACTACCAATATTCCAAGAAATACTAATAATTTTGAGAGATGGTCATCATGAGTTATATCATATTCACAACATAAATCGATAAAAATACCAAAAAACACAAACTTACTTATCAAAGAAATTTCTCATCATCCATTAATTACTGCCCAAATCTTATGTTCATAAAAATCAAACAAAATATTAAGTTGAAAAAATTTAACATACCCTAACCTGGGATGCCAACTTCAATGAAAATTGCTTTAGAGTTAATTACAAAAGTAAAACATATAAGCCAACTCACCTTACTAGGATTATTCCATTTTTCCTCAAATTCCTTCCTTGCTTCTTCGAGGAAAATTTTCACTGAAAGAATATTTATTTATGAACACAATCTTTTATACTTTAAACAAAGAAATAAGACATCCTACATTAGAGAGAGAAAAATACTTTAAAAAGAACAATATTACTGTTTTATATATTTGTGCACCACTTAAAAAATGTTTCATAAGATACTTATAAAGAAAATAAAATCACCTCTGAATTTAAAAACTTTGCAATATATAAGAGAAAAATGCAATTCAAATACTGCTTCATTTAATTTAAAAGAAGAATTTGCACATAAACATATGATTTAGAATAACTTATAAGAATTTGTTCATTGTCACTTTTTATAAAAATTTTATTTTACACACATAATGTATAGTGACTATATAATAAATCAATTTTCTGAAGTTAAAATTCAACACCCAAGTTTCTTATATTTTTATTACCTGAACTATTGTGCATAGCTACAACACACATAAGGAATTACTATTCGCTGGTGGAATTACTATTCGCTGGTAACAATGCACTTTGAAAATTTATCCAAACTATACTGAATTTAGGATTATACTTAAACCTTTACACCAGAAGTGCCCAATATCACAATTCAGAATGATTTATAACATGAGAGAAGAATTAATTAAAGCAAACTAAGCCTAAAACCATATAAAAATATAAAATAATAAAAGGCAAACTATAAAAGTGGTTTTCAATTTTTAGATTTGATCTGCACTTTACATAAAGTTGCAGTTTTGAAACTGAGGCCAAATGGTTACATATGAATACCTTTTCAGATAAATGTTCCACTTGCGAGTTTTGTTATTAGTACGCTGAAATATAAAAATTAAGATAAAAAATCATGTTAAGAATAGCTTATAAAATGTATTTTAAAAAAAAAGGTATGTGCATTTTTCTTTGAATACTGATCCCACACAAACACTTCCAGTTTTAATGCTTCTCAAAATACAGTAAAGAGTTTTAAGAAAATAATCTCATAACCCTTCTATTCTTGATTCTGAACCTTATAAAAATACAAAAGATAAATTTTATATGGTCGCAGTAATGCAAAAAGTTCACTTAATACAACATTCATCATGCTTTGATAAGGCACATAAAAAAAATCTCCATACCCTTATATGCAAAATTTGCCAGATACTAGTAATTAACAATTTCAGTAGCCAGTTTAATGTCAATAATTAGCAGTATTTTGACAATGCTTTTGTATTTGTTAAAACAGTAACATTTATTTTGTAATTTTTTCAAAATCCAATATGGTTGAAATCATTTAATAACAGGCACAAAAAAGCAGCCTGTCAGTAAATTCAGTTTCTGAAATCTCTTTGAACTTTGCATATGAAATACATTGCATTTCATATAGTGAACAATTTACTAATCAGACTTTTTGCTTTATAAGGGCAATAGAGAAGATAGAAGATATTTGTTTAAAAAACTCACCCATCCCCCATATTAAAACTCTATCTCGCGCATGTATGCATACACACACTACAAGTTATCAACCGTTTTGATACTCATATTTCTGATTTTAATACTACTGAATCAAACTTCACAGCAACTAACATTTTTTCCTTTAAATCTGCTAATTTTTTTAATTGCCTTCTCTCACAAAGCACATAAGAACGCTATCACTACTAGGCATGTAAGTAAAATAAACTGCATGATTTTAAAATTACAAAGATCTACAGCTTTAGTATTTTTGCATGCTAAATCTAAATTATTTGAAAAAATGCATGAAAAATTATAAATTATTAGATTTACAAAATAACATAAAGATGCATAACTGGTTGGCAAATGTGCACTTTGCATTCTTTTACAAATGGTGTTATTAAAAATGATAAATAATAATTCACAAAAGTATAACTTAATAACGACAATTTTACTGCTAACTGCGTTTGACTGGTATTCACATGTTTTATCTATTAATCCAATGCAGGACTTTCAAAGAGACTAATTGAACTAATTATGCAAATTTACAAATAAGACTCCATAATTTGAGTACTTGTGACCAAAGAAGCATGGATGCTGATGATGCTTAAACTTCTCTGGATATATTATGACCTTATACACTGAACAGATGCCAGCAATTATTCTTTATGTTTGATGACAATCAGCTCTGACTAACTGACAGTACCTCAGAGAAATTCTACAGTACGGATCATTTTAGACTCCTGAAACCAGAATATTCACAGCAATTTGCATGCTATGCACAAAAATAAACTCACAGATTTTAAAAGGATTATTTACTAAGAATAGAAATTTCTGATATATATTCTTAAATACTTATATAGTTGTTAAGATAACTAATTACAGCAAAGGAAAAAAAAGGCATTCTGAATAGAATACATGACTTTGCAATTTATTTTATGAGTTCAAGAGTTTTCATCTATACTTGAACACAAGTGAGCATGAAGAATTTTACCAGAAAAATTATTGTTATTAAATAATCTTATCTACTTAAAGCTGATCAGATCTAAATCTTCATGCAATTTTTTGATTTATAAATCACATTAAACAATTAAAAGAATTCTTGTTTGAAAAATTTAGTAACTATTCCATTTTAAATTTAATGCTGAAATATTTGGGAGTAAAATAAACCATAACTACTGCCAAATTTTTCACAAAATAATAAACATACACTTACTTATCTCTTAAAGTTTTCTGCTGCCCTACTTTAATAGTATTACATGCATCCATTCTAAACCTGAGTACCATGAAGTCAGTTACTTTACATTCGCGAGCATTTTTTAACATCGTATTTATTGTGTTCTACAATTTCTTGTGGATGAAAAGGGAACAAATTAAGAACAGCATGTCTGCATTTAACCTGACAACAAATTTGGTAAAAATGTTGTGCACACTTAAACAGAGCAGTGGAATTCACTGAAAATGCTACAGGATGATGCTGCAGTTTACCTGCTTTGTTGATTAGTAAGGCAAATTACACAAGGGTAAGTTAAACTTCAAAAACTGTTATATATGAGTTGAAGCTTATTATTCTGCACTGTGCAGTGCCAGAGAATGTAACAAATGACAATGAAATCATTACAGAATACCAAGGAAGAAAATACGTATCTTATAGCCCAGGTGAACTTACCAGACATACTGAATACAAGATGGATTGCTACCAAATTCCCACTGTATTGCTAAAGGTCAACTGAAGGCAGCACAGCATGGAAATGTGTAGGAAGCTTCATCAAAAGATTTAAAAAGACTTATCAAGAAACAACCACCAAGATGAAAGTCTTGTTTATCCGTGGCAGATTTATGACGTGAGGCGGAGGTAACCTCACCGGAACTTTTGCAAGATACAGTGCATGTTTACCGTTTTCTGATAACTAATTAATGGTTTGTGGGCTCTCTAAAACATAAGGCCTTTCACTAATGCAACATGTACATCTTAAATTTGTCATTCACTATAACCCAAGAATACTTGTAAGGTTAGCCAGAAGCAATGTTGACCAACTTCTTAGAAGCTAAAAAATATATTTGAAAGTAACTTATTCTATCTGATGGGTTTACAAATGTTAAGTTTATCTGTGATATCTTACGATAGCTACAGAAGAAAATGCAGAGATAATACCTCATAAAATGGCATAATACTACATCCTCCATTATGAAAATGCACTCAACTTATCCATCCCGTGTTGATCAAAAACCAGGTATTAATTCATGCACTTTTGTTTATCACACCACTGTTGTTCAGGATGAGATTGAGCAGTGGAACTTCAGCACACTCAGCTTAAGTACTTGAAGGTTGCAATACAATATTACGATCGGCCACCTCTCCAGCCTTGGCCCACTGAGTAACCTTCAGTAACAGGATAATGCTTTCAACAGTATCACAGAGGCTTCTGTTGCTTTACTGATGCTTGTTTCAGTTACATCTCAGTGGATGAAAAATGATACCCCTATAAAAGTAAGTTTGAATCGTAAAGAACAAAATGTCAATGCCTCTGCCAAAACAACCCATGTAAATGACAGGCAGCAGCATCACCAAAACACCATATTATCAAAACTTAGCATCTGGCTGATACAGACATGTTTGCTTATATTCACCCCCTGAACATTAAAAAAAGAGCACATGTTGTTGGAATCATCCGTCAGAAGTTTCAACAGCTACAAAACCCTATCATTACTCTTTTTTTTTTTCTCTGGTCACTTGAGATGTGCCATAAGGAGTACAAGTCTTTACAAAAAATGTCCAACTGAATGAAAAACCGAAAAACTTCTTCCACAATGATCACTTTTGATCAAATTGGAAGAGAAACACGCTGGTGTAAAATACAAAGATAGCCAAAAACACAACCTTAGTTTCACATAAATTTTGAATAAAACTGTTATCAATTTCAGAGACATGTTCTTCTTCTACAGTAGCAAAATAAATTCTGCAGAAATGAAAACGGGGACAACCATTTTATAACAAAAGCAATGGACAGAGTAAAGTGAAAGTGAACATAATGTTATTCAAGGAAGAAAACAGTAACGATACACAAAAAACTAAGATATTAAAATTTTGAAAGCATGAGATTAGTTATTTAAGTATGGGCAAAGGACACAGGGGTAATCAGTCTAAGAGCAGGGATAACTTCATGGAGAGATTCTTTTTGGCTTGTATTTCTGTAAATGATGGAAAACCACAAAAATATGTAACCAGCCTATATCTGAGTTCAAGACCAGAAATAACTTCCAGTATTAAGGAAGCTTTAAGGGTTCCACTACTTGAAAGTATTAGGAAGCAATGGACTGGAATTGTGATGAACTAAAGAAGATGAATATTTTTTTAACGTGAAAAGGTTCAAGGAAACCCAGTCCACCAAAAGAAAAAAAAAAAAAAAAAATTATCCATAATTTTTGCAGAACCAAAGTCAAAACTGGGATTTGAGTGGCCAAATATGATTATGATTAGCTAATGAAGATTTGTTTTCTCCCTTCTTTTTGAATATGAGATCCACACTCCTTGACATGAAATCTTAAATGCTCTTTTAATTTGGGCGATAACCTGACAAACCACAATGACGGGATAT